ACACCATACTATTCTGACATTAAAAAGAAGTAAATAAAAAGTTAAACCATCTTAGAGCACTGTTACACCATAAACTAGTCTCAGCTTACTGTTCTAGCCCTTAGCAACTGTTCTGTAAGTATAAAAAGTAAACCTGTTCAAAAGTTGCTGAGAAAATGAGCACATGAAAATAAAAGGCTATCATATAATCATTTCTATTGATGAGCCTGTCTATTCCTATAAAGCAGCAGTTCTCAACCTGTGAGTCGTGACCCCTTTGGGGGTTGAACGATCCTTTCACAGGGCTTGCCCGATTCATAACAGAAGCAAAATTACAGTTAAGAAGTAGCAACGAAAACAATGTTATGGTTGGGAGGTCACCACCACATGAGGAACTGTATGAAAGGGTCGCGGCATGAGGAAGCGTGGGAACCACTGCAAAGGGTTATCGTCTCAGAAACTCACAGGGGAAGTTCTACTGTGTCCCGTATGGTCACTCTGAGGTGGAACAGACTCCATGAGTGAGTCTCCATAGTGAGGTTGTTTATTACAGTAAAATTAGAAGAGGTTTCTGAAGATTGGAAATAGGCTGGGTTAGTAGTCAAGGCCTTTAACCACTGTGCAGCCAGGATTCTGTCTTGAAAATTTTAGATTAACTCCAATTACTTAATGTTATCAAGACAGAGGGAAAAAGAAAGAAAAAAGTATGGGGACCAGAAAGAGAAGTCAAAGGAAGATGTAGGAAAAATCAGCAGGGCATTTTAAATATTAAACCAACAATTATAAGAAAGAACCATTTCTGAACACCACCCACTGAGTTGACAAGTCACCGTGAGGTTGAAAGTATTACACTCTGAAAACCTTTTGTGGAAAATCATGATTTTTGTCAATGAATATTATGTGCTTGGTTAAATCATTGTGCCTCAATTTCAAGTGAAACTGAGAATAAAATGTTTTCTTCTTAGCTATATTGTAAGGGTACATGGAAGCCAGACACAGGTAGGTTGTATTAGCAAAAGTAGAATCAGTAGTTGGAAGAAAAGGCTTCATTTGGTGCCACCTCTGCAGCCCAAACATCTGTTGTCGTAGGAAACTGGGGTGCTGTCAGGGAGTGCGCTCTAATTGGAAGCCTAGGACCACTGACACTAAGAAACAACCATAAGACATTTTCACTACTGGGAGCCCAAGTCAAAATGTATACAAAACCAACATAAGTCTTCTCCAATGTAGTGACAATAAAATTTAATCATATATCAATATAAAAATTCAGTTCCTTAGTTCCTACTTGTATTAGAGTGATAAGCAGCCACCCAGAACAGTTCCACACCACTGCTGTAGAATATCCAAGAAGATGCTGAAACACAAACTCTTTATCACTTTGCAATTATGATTCAAATGATAAATATTTTGGTCTTGTAAAATGATTTAAAATATGATATTAAGTAGCTATAAATTCATATTTCCCCCAAAAACAAACCAGAAGCATGGCCTGCATCTTCAGAGACACGAAGGTCTTCCGTGGGTATTTATCGGTGGTCCAGGGATAGAATTCTTTCCCCGTTAGTTCCTGGACAATACACCTCATATGCAACCACCACCTGTCTCTCAGTAGAGGCTTTCGAGTTGTTATGATGCTAAACAGGTTTCAGTGGAGCTTTCAGATTTAGACGGACTAGGAACTACGGTCTGGCAGTCGACATCTGCAAAGCAGCCAATGGAAACTGTGTGTCCGCGGAAGTTCTAGCACAACCTTATTTTGGGATGGCGCAGAACCAGCCAGTGCTTTTCATTCCTTTGTTAATGGTGACGGCAACTAACAGCTGTAATGGAATATTTGGGTCAAAATTCGGTGTGGATTTTTCTTCTAAGTCTGGGGCCAAATCCTCCTGGTTTACTTCAGACATTCTAAGTTTTAAAACTGATAGCCTCACAACCCTGGACACCTTTCAGAGTCCTGGGCCAATGAGAACAGTACCACCCTTGGGGTAAGGGAAGGTGCTTTATGTTTCTTACCTATTTCCATAATGGTGGCCTATAGTGAAGGAGAGAGTAGTTTGTCTTATTAACAGTTATGCAATAAATAATACCATATTTATAAGGCCCAAACTTACCTGGACCAGTCTGCCTTTCTAGTCATTCCACTTCCAAGAATCTTATATTCTAGCTTTGTACTGATTCCCAAAGCATACTTGACATTTCACACCACTAACTGCTGAGGGAATTTTATGCCTGGAATGCTTTTCCATCCCACTGAACATTTGCCAAGGTTCAATTCAAATATCCCTCTTTTCATAAACTTTTCCAGTATTTATATTTCTTCAACTTCACCTACTCCTTGATAGAATGATTTGCTTCTGTTCTTGTACAACCAGCATTTTAACATATTTTTTGTCATAACAATTGCTCTTTTGTGCTAATTTTTATCTACATGTTTGTTTTCTTTCCAAGCCTATAAACACAAACAGTTCTTTTTATTTATCTTCTCCACTGTTTCTGGCATATAGAACATGCATTGTTTCATACTTTTCAAAGCCTATTTTACATATGCTCTCTGGTTGGTTCCTTTTAACAATTCTGTGAATTTGGAAAAGACATTATTCTGTACCCACTTGGTTGATGAACATAGAGGCTTAAAGGCAGTGATTCCCCAGATTTTAGGTAGGGGCAGTATGGAGATTAACGCTTAGGTGTTCTTTGTACTTCTCACCTTATAAAATCACCATGAAAGCTCGGGGTTAATTTAATAGAATGACTCTATTGATAACAGAAAGGTGATCAATAATATTTGAACAACAGATGATGCAGAAGTTCACTGATCTTCTCTTGTCCCTCAAAACTACTCCACACTGAACGGTTTGTTCACTTCTCAGATTAACGTAATCTGCTGAGAAGTGTGAGTTCAATCGTTACTGGATAAGTCAAATTACCAAAACTCTGCACGCCACTAGAGTTGAACCTTTAAAGAATGAATATAGCATGAATTTTTAATATTAGAAACGCTCTACACTTGATCTTAGCCAAAAGGCCGAGAAACAATGAAAAACAACGCTGCTTCTATACCATGACTATCAAAGAGTTTTTGTTTCAGTGTGACTTTCAAAAGTTCAAACTCTGCCTCCGATGAATTCCTTCAATTTTGTGTGCTTATGTTGGGCTGCTAACTCTGAGGTCACCAGCCGCTCTGAGGGAGAAAGCCTGGGCTTCCTACTGCCTTAAAGATAGTCTCGGAAATTCACAAGTGCAGTTCCAGCCTGTCCTATAAGGTCACTATGAGTCGGCATGGGCTGGACGACAGTGCTTGGGGTTTTGGTGTAGTTTCTGACTGATAAACAGTACTCATTGTTCAAAGAGGAAAGTCCCCTGTTAGAAATCATAGAACAGAAGTGGATGCATCCTGGGTCTGCCACTAGGATTCTTGGTTTTATCTTTACCTATCTCCCCGAAACAGGGGGGGGGGGAAGCCCCCTAATGGGACTGCCACTGAGACTTACCAGTCTTCCTGGAGTTGATGCCAACTCATGAGACCCCACGGTCCGGGTAGAACTATGCCCTGTAGGATTTTCAACGGCTGCTTTTTAAAGAATTAAATCACCATATCTTTATCCCAACACCCTTTGGTTGGAGTGGAGCCTCCAACTTTTAGCATTAATGTTTGCATACACCACCCAAGGACTGTCATGAGAGAGAGAAAAAAACAAAACCACCACCAACTTGTGCTTTACACAATTGATGTATGTATCGATTGTGATAAGAGTTCTATGAGCCCCTAATAAAACGATTAAAAATATTTTTCAATAATAACAATGTACAATCTATCAGGGGGTTATGAGGGTTGGGCAGGGGGCGGGGGGGAGCGAAGAGTAGATGATACCAAGGGCTCAATAGAAAGTAAATGTCTAGAAAAGAATGAAGGCAACATATGTACAAACATGCCTGATTCAATTGATGTATGGATTGTGATAAGTGTTGTACGAGCCCCCAATAAAATGATTTTAAAAAAACTTCTTCAAATGGCTAATCTTTTGAAGATTAAAAAAAAAAATCTTCAAATGGCTAATCTTATGAAGGCAGTCCTGTTAGCAGTACTTGGTGTTATTTGTTTACTGTCCCTGCCAGCAATACTTGGTGTTATTTATTTACTGTTTGTAAATGTATCACCACAGGTTATACACAAGTGTGAAGCTCTGTCTGTGACGTTCCCCGTCAAGGCAGCAATACAGGATTGGGATTTCTGCTACCCTGATAGTCCTGACACTAACTGACAATTCCACCACGAAAACCAAAATCCAAAACCACTTTTACAGGGTTACAGTCTCAAGTCCAGGGTAGGGATTCCTATCTTTCTGAGGAAACATAATCCAACATAAACTAGGAGCATCTCCATTTCTATAGATTCACACGTTCATGAGGTATATTTTCTATTCCATCTTTACTGCAGATGGGGAAAAGGGGCTTTTCGTTTCCTGTAATGTTGCAGAAAAAGCCTATTTAATGGTAGAAAGTATTTAGAGATGATTTTTTTTAATACAGCGTCGTTATGGATAAGGTAGAAGGATGAACTGAACAGAATGTTCAGTGACAAAATGATGTGGATTAGCAGCCTCCAACAGGCGCTGAAAAACTCTCGCTCTCAAAGTATCACCAAGGAGTCAACTGGGTTTAATCGCAGGGCACTGAAACATTTGGCTGATTTTAATTTTGCCACACACAGACCACACTAAGTATTTCGCCACAAGAATATAATAACCGAAAACGAAACACCGATTTGTAAATCTTAGTTCTAAAGCCCCACAAAAATGTTAAGTTTTCCACGCACCCGCCTCCGCTAGCACAATGGAGTCACAAACTGTATTTTAAAGCGCCGCTCACCCTCCCAGCTCAGCCCCTCCCTGGTCCCCTCCTCTCACGCACATTCCTCGGAGAACCCGGAAGCGGAAGCGGAAGCGGAAGCGGAAGCGTCGTCCCCGTGTACCGTGACGCGCTATTACGGAGCGGCCTTACGTCACTTCCAGGCGCCGGACGGCACGTTGCCTGGGCCGTGGGCGAGCCGGTCGGGCACAAAGATGTCTATGGCCAGCGACTTCTACCTGCGCTACTATGTAGGGCACAAGGGCAAGTTTGGACACGAGTTCCTGGAGTTCGAATTCCGACCAGACGGTGAGCACGAGCGGCCGCTTTTCCGCGGGGTTGGGAACAGGGAGGCGAGGCCGCTGCGGAGACGGAGGCGGGCTCGAGAGAGGACGGGCTGTCGTTTCAGCCCACATCTGTAGGCGCTTTAAACCTCGGGGACCCAAACTCGTTCTGCAAGTAACTATCATCGGTTGGTTTATTCAGTAAAGCTATGTCTGTTACATACTGACAAAAGTTGAACCATCCAGCGATCAGTGCACCGAAGGCGGCATCGTAAGGCCATTTACTTTGGGTTTTTTTTGGACATCTACTTTTAAGACCCAATATTGTCGCGTTATTTCAACACCCCCACCAAACAGTGGATGATTACAAATCTTGGGGTGTCCAGTAACTTTCGGACTCCCCATTCATTTATAGTCATTCATCCAGTGTATGTAAGGCAGCTTGTGTAGAAGGACAGATAAGGCAGGTCTGCAGGGTTTAGGCCGACCGTAAACACGAGTCTTTAGGTGCTTAAATGCCACAGAATGCATCGGGAGTGCAAAACGGGGGAGCAATTAATTCTACCATAGGGAATTCTTGAAAACTTACTAGAGGACGTGACATTTAAGCCGCATTTCGAAATAACTAAAGAGCAAAATCATTGCCAACAAGTCGATTCTGACGTATAGCGGTCTTTATTATTTATTGGGGTTTCCGAGGGTCTAAATATTTATTGGAGCAGACAGCCTTATCTTTCTCTTGTGCAGATAGTGGTAGGTTTGAACTGCTGACTTTATAGTTAGCAGCCCAGCGCCTAAGCCACTGTGTCACCAGGGGTCGTGAATCTTGAAATAAGGTTAGGTGTGAGGTAAAAAGGCAGTCAGACTGGGGGAACAGCAAGGGCCCAAGGGAAGGTGAAGAAGCCCCCTGCTGCATCTTGTTCTCATATTGAATTCTATTCTCTTGCAACATGGACAGTTCAACTAGACAGATTTATGTTAGGTGCTGGGAAAATGGAAATATAAAATTAAGGGTACATTAATGTGTAAGATTCTTTATTTTCCCTCAAAGAGTTGTCTGAGTAGGAGAAACAGACATGAAACTTACCATTAAAAGCAGCGTAGATAGATATTAAGCTCTGTCTTCATGCTTTGCACAGAATTCTATTAAGAGCATGATAAGACCACGTACTAGGCAGAGGGAAGTATTTCTGTTGGAAATTCATGGTAACTTTGGACATAAAAAGAGCCCTGGTGGCAGGTTGTTATACCTTTGGGCTGCTAACCACAACGTCAGCAGTTAGAAACCACCACCAGCTGCATGGGAGAAAGATGAGACTTTCTACGTTAGTAAAGATTTACGGCCTCAGAACCCCAGCGGGGCCATTCTACTCTGCTCTGTAGGGTCACTTGGAGTCAGACTTGACTCATTAGCAATGAGTACAGACATACAGTTTTTTGAGAACTGAAATCACCTTATTTTCCTTTTGCCCTCCCATGGATCTTCTAAATTTGGTTTTATGGAGCTAAGTATGAGGAGGCTTTAAAGAGTCTGTGGGAAAATAGAATTTCTCTACAAACTCTTTGCAGCCCTCTCCTGTACCTGAGTTCTGTGTTTTTCTTACGGGAAGTTATTTTCATTCCATGCCTGTGAATGCCATTTAAGGTATCCTAACCTTACTAACCTTATCAGGGACATTGTGTACCTTGACAGTTTAATCCTTTTTTTGTTGTTGCCATACTGTTCTATATTCATTTATCAATTGTAATCACAAAGATGATACCTAAAGTGTACACCTCATTAACCAAAACCCGACTAAACCTATTGCTCTAGGGTACTTTATTATTTTAGAACAATATGACCATTTTATATCTGTGCCTGGAAAATTGGTTCTTGAAGAGAATGTGTTTATATAACAGAAATGATGCTTTAATATCAGATATGTCACCTGTTAAACTGACCATCTTTATTCAGAACCAGAACACTGTGTGTAAGCTTATAAGTAGTCATAGTTAGTACTTAAGCACAAGTCTTGCTGGAATTTATGTATATTAATTTGAAGGAAAGTAATTAAAGCATCATGGAGCAGTGAAAAGAGCAGGCGTATTGGAAGAAAGTAGATTTAGATAGGAGTCATGTGTGATTTTGGACCAGTTAGAGAATTGCTTTCTCACTAATGAATAGGGATAATAAAACCTACTTCTTAGGATTATTTTACAGATTAGAAGATGCTCTGAAATACGTAAAGCGCTTAGTCCCAATGCAGATGTATAACATTAACTTAAAAGGAAATGTTAATTACATCTTCAGATTTCTTTTCTAGTTCATAACATAGAATGGGCCTGATAAATGATCCTCGCAATGTATAGTATAGGAAAGGATATTACCAAAGTAAAAATATTAGCAGTTGCCTCCAAGTTGATTCTGACTCATGTTAACAGTGCTAGCTACTAACTCAAAGTTTGGTGCTCTGGGTTTACCCAGAAGCTTCTCAGAAGAAAGTCCTAGCAGGCTACTTCCAAAATATCAGCCATTGAAACCCTAGGGAGTGCAGTTCTCCTTTTGACACAGATGAGGCTGCCGGGATGTCACACTCGGAGGAAGGAAATAGTAATTCATTTACATTTTCAGCAGTTTTTGCTCTTATAAATGTTATCTTTTTCCACTCCCCACAGGAAAGCTTAGGTATGCCAACAACAGCAATTACAAAAATGATGTCATGATCAGAAAAGAGGTAAGATTTTTTTTAGCCCCCCTCCTTTTTTTCTTTTAATAAGCCATTTTCCAGATGTCGAATTCAGAAAAGTATGATGGTTGCTCAAAGGACATTGCTATAAGCTTTACATAGACTGGAATGTAACTCCTTGTCATTAGACCTCCTTCTGGACCCACTTTCGATTTATTCTGAATTTTTAATATCTTTTCCTGTTTCTTAGATTGAAGACTTGCTCTGTTTTATATGATCATTATTGCTGGGTCCTTTTATGGTTTGTTTATTTTTTTCCTAGTTTTGTATATTTTCCTATATAGGAAAGCCACAATGAGTGGATTTATGACGACAGTAACTGAAATAATAATTACCTGGCTGCCTGGAAAGGGAGAATGGGGGACATTGGGAGTTAACACCAGTGGGCACAAGAGGAAGAAACTGTTCCAAAGGTGACTGTGGTGACAATTACACACTCTTCTTAATGTGATTGAACTATTGAATTGTATGATGTGTTCATTATAGGTCAATAAAACTAATTAAAAAATGATGCTATAGGGTTCCACTTCATACATGCATTAGTTTATTCAAAACAAAATGTATTTCAACAAGTGTGTGCAACTATTGGGTGGCTATAGACAATTCATTCCGTAATACACTTATCTCAGTGTAGTTAAGGGTGCCTTAAAAATAAAGGCCCAATGACAATAGTGAACTCTAAAGGGTAGTGTGGGCCTTTTAACTCAAGGCAGAGAGCTGAGCTCAGCAGGGTATTGTGAATGGTTTTTTGGGATTCCAAAGGAGTACTCTTTTGATAGCTTTGTCTCAAAGACCCAGAACAGTCATGGGGGCATACTAATGACATTTTAAGACAATGGACATCAGTGTTGGTGAGAAAAAGCCCAGGAAAGTTGCACTTAGCAGGTTTTTCACCATCAGAATAATGCACCTGTTCATTCTTTTTGTTGTTGCTTAGGTGGCTTTAAATCTTTTTATTTTCCTCAGTATTATTGGCACATAATCCACATATCATACAGTTCAATTGTTTAGCCATGCCAAGAAGAATTGTACAATCAATACCACAGTCAATTTTCTTTTTACCCCCCATGAATCACCTTTAAAATGAGTTGTGTAATCACATTGAATTCTAGTACTCCCTCCCCCACTGGCCTTCATTGCTTACTCCCCAAATCCCCTAACCTTCCCTATCCCCCATCCAACCCCTAAATCAACTACAAACCCTTGCATCAGTTACTATCTCTATGTATCCACTCCTTCTGTGCTTCACAAACTGGGACACCCAGGAGGAACACCAAAGAACAAAAAATGAAGTGGTAAGGATAAAACAATAGTAATGTAAAGATAAAAATACCAACTCTGAGCAAGAAAGAAAAGCCCGCCATCAATATTTTAAAAGCCAGGGAAGGAATTTTTGTCATGGAACGAGCAAGAGATCCTTGCACCTAGAACAAATTCAGATTGGGTCTAGAGGAAGGCCAACTGACAAAGTATCAGGTTTGATCCAGTATAATCAGCATTAAAAGGATTTATGTTTGATAGTAAGGCTGTTCCAGATATTTGCCTGTGGCTAAAGGGGATCTGCCAGCAGCTTAATCCGACTAGGTACTCTGCAGATGGGTTTGGGGCGCCCACTGTCCTGCACAGCCTTCCACATTTTAACTCTGATACTTGTCTTTCATCATATTTGAATTTTGTTACTGTCATTTTTGGACCCACAAGCTGGTGTACTTCTCTTCCACGTGGACTTCATTGACTCCTCGCTTATATGCCTCTACAAAGGTAGCAAGGGCAAGGCTGTCCTACAGAGATTTAATTGGGAAATCTGACCTCATCTACCTTACATCTCCAATCTTGCCCTTGCAGACTACTTTTTGTTCCCCAAACTTAATAGAATAAAAAGAACGTGATATAAGCTCTTGAGGATGCCAAAATGGATGTGGTGTAAATCACAGAGGACAGAATTCCTCAGGGAAGAATAATCGAGATGGAACCACTGTGTGCCTTCAGAGTACATAGACGTGGAGGGAAGATAGCTTTCCATTTTGATATTTTTGCTTATTAAATGCTTCTATGATTTTTTAACACTACCCTTTGACTTAGGTTTGTGCATCTAAGCCTGATGAGAAGGAGCCCGTTGAGATTGAAAAGTAATTCAGTTTCAAGTACACATAACTGCAGCATCTGTAGCAATGAAAGCAGTTGTTCGGGTATATGAAGTTGAAGTTCCATATTATTATATATTCACATATTAAAATTAATCTTATAATTAATTTTGTCTTTTAATTTACTGTAAGGGGCCTTTAAAAATTTTTGGAGAAAGAAAATTAAAAGATAATGGAATCTTTCCATGAACATTTTGAATCCCGCTTGAATTTAAAATAATTAATTAATAGGATATAAATTAAAGATGCAAAATTAGGTGTAAAAAATTCAAAGAGCTAACTGATAAATGCTTGATATTTATATCTTTTTTACCTCATAGACCATACACTATCATCATTGATTGCTGATTTAAGACATCATGTTTCAAAGATTGGATATAGGGTATTAAAAGGGGTTAGTCATGAGAAGAAGTATAATAATATTTATTATATTGGATTACTATTAGGGCTTATAAGCCCTTTTCAATGTTTCTGAGTCGCGGGAGCAAACATGCAAAAAAACTTTTATTGTCCCTTCTAGGCTTATGTTCACAAGAGTGTAATGGAAGAACTGAAGAGAATTATTGATGACAGTGAAATTACAAAAGAAGATGATGCTTTATGGCCACCTCCTGACAGGGTTGGCCGACAGGTTTGTGTTTACTAATTCTTAGATGCATAAATATTCACAATTGTTAATGTAATTGTTATGTTGCATCTTACGTATTTATGAGTCTTCATTAAATCTTCATTTTCTATTTAGTAGCCTCAGATTAATATTTTATTTCATTAGCTTCATGTTCCATTTTCCCTCCTAGTAGTAAAGGCGTCAAATACATCACTAAATCTAGACTTTGTTCTGGATAGTCTTTACAATAGCCACCATTCACAATCAGGATGTCTTTACACGTAATCATTTCCATTGTATGGTAACTGCTTTTAGTGGGAGTGAGTATATCTTGTTTGCCAAATGGAGAGTTATGATTTGACTTGACTATATAAAGTTTGCTTTCTTCAAATTTATAACCTTTATAAGTCTTATGTCCTAAAGAAGAATTTGATTGGTTTCTTGTTTGTGTTTTTTTGCTTCTCATAGTCCCTCAGAGTAACTGATGTTTCTCAAGGCCTAATTTCACCCCGTAGAGACAGTTTGGTTTCTGACTTGGGTCTTTTCAACTCTTGGAGCAATGAGACACGACTGTGGAAGACACGTTGAATTTCACTTTTGTCTGTTCTTGAGGATTATACCTTATGTCACCTTCTTTGACTAGAAGACATGTGGAGAAAGCTAACAGATGCTGACACTGTAGCAGTAACTTAACTCTTCTCTTTAAGGAAGCATTATGTAGGAAAGCAAAGGTAATAGCTAATATACTTGCTTTTTACATTGTAAACATTTAAAAAAATAAATTTAGATTCAGTTGGTTGCAATGCACATAGAGACTAAAAACAAACAATTGTGGCAGCCTCAGAGAGAGGCCAGCGCTTTAGCTGTTTACTTGATGATGTGTTTGTGGTTAGTGGAGAAGATTGAGCATGCACCAGAAATTCCCAGTATGATCATTAAGTCATTGCTTGAGAGCCTTGATTAGTTGATCTCTTGATGTGTATTACAAACTGCACAGCCTGTCTTTATGGCATCTATTTTTCACTCGTATGAGTCGGAATCGGCTCAATAGCATTGAGTTTGGTGGCTTAGTGGGTTAGGCATCAGGCTCCTAACTGCAGGTTTGGCAGTTCAAACACATTAGTTGCTCTGCAAGAGTATTATGAGGTGGTCTGCGTCCATACTAGTTTTGGTCTTATAAACCCTAAGGAGCGGATCGACTGTCCTCTAGGGTCACTGGGAGTTGGATTGACGCTATGGTAGTGCATTTGTTTTTGTTTTGATACTTTTCAATATAACTTGAAAATTTCTTACGGACATAGCCTCTTAAGTTATGGTTATAGATTTGCAGATAATATGGAAAACAAGTGGCATTTATGTTTTGTATTTTTCTGTTATTAATTTTAATTGTTTTGTAAAGTCAAGGATGCCAGTTGAGGTATCTTCATCATCATCATTATCAGTCAGTGGTTATAAATATTAATTTATTCCCTTGTATTTTATGAGTTCTCAGTATCAGATTTGTAAAATGAGGTTAATAAAGGTTAATTAAACCTTAATAAAAGTTAATAAAGTTGTATTGTAGGGATTGCAGGGACTGTAGATAAAGCCCTTATCTACCAAGAGTGTGACACACAGTATGTCTTAAAGTGATCGTTAATATTAATAATTTATGTGTATAGCCTATCAAATGGAAATACTATATTAATTTGAAAATAGATTTATGGCTATATAACTGTTGTCTTACAACATTGTACTTCAAAGTGATGCATTAGATGTTTACTGACATGACATTAGGAACATTTCTATGCCGTTCTTAAGTATGTCGCTCATCATTAAGTAGAATCCGTTGTGTGAGGAGTCTGAGAAGCACGTCTCTGTTTATTCTGCTGTTCGGAGTAGTCCTCAGAAATAGTCAACCAGAATGTTGTTGTAAAGACATAATTTCATGTATAACAGATTGTTTCTTATCTTATCCAATGACTTGATAGAAAATTTGCAGCCAAAATTGAGACCTTTTATTTTTTTTAGCAGTGGTACAGATAGCTTCTGGAATGGATTTTTATATTAACTACATTGCTGGATCTCTTTTTCTTTCCTAGGAACTTGAAATTGTAATAGGAGATGAACACATTTCTTTTACTACATCCAAAATTGGTTCCCTTATTGATGTAAATCAGTCAAAGTAAGTATGTTCAGCATTTGTTGTCAAATTGACTTATAATTTTTGAGACTCATGCTTGGACTATAGGCCATTTGTTTGCTAAGATAATTTTAATGTCACCCAATCATATAAATTTTTATATTGTTAAGGCTTGGTTTTGGTTTGCTAGATAAATTAGTAGACTATTTTACTGATTCAGTAATTAAATATAATATTTAAATTTAATTATTGATAAAAATATGGATATAGTGTCAAAGAATTAAAAAAGAAAAAAAATGTCCCTACTGAACTGTATGTACTTTTTCAGTCTCATCTCATACCAATCCTCCGTGTGTTCAATACTTGAAAGAAATGGGAAATATCCAGTGTAGCTTAAGTATGTCTTCCCAAGGTCTCCTTCCTTGAGCCTTTGTAGCACATTACCTTTATCTAAAAAGTCTTCTTCCTACTTCCTTGCCTCAGAAATGTCCCCATAATGTCCACTTTACTAAATTGTCATACATTATCTGTCTGCCTTACTGTTTAGAGTATGGCCCCATGAGAATCTTGGTGTACCTCCAAAATCAGCATAGTGCCTGACATATAATAGGGGCTTTATGAATACTTGTTAAGGAATAAGAGGACCAGAGGAATGCATAATAATTTGAATACAAAAGCCTGTGTTCACAAAGATCAACCAAATGTTTTAAATAATTCTTTTGATTTAGTTACTTAGTCCACAGCAGGGGAGGATGTATCATTCATGCTCTATGGTGGGCGTGCAAAGCTTTGGGGCAGAAATTGCATAATATGCATCAAAGCACTTTAGC